AGTCTACTGGCACAATAAACCTCCGCGCAAGTCACCGTCCTTGCTCCCACTACCTGCTGTGGGACATACGGTGAACAGCGTCGGATGAGCGGTCGAACTTTCGTGCGTGTGTGTTTGTGTGAGAGAGGTCAAGGCGCGCAGCCCAATTTAAAAGATAAGTGAAGCATGTTCATTACTTGAGTCCCTTTTAAAAGTCGCCTTTCAATATAAGGTATAATTTTTTCCAGTTTTGTTTGGCAGTCTGGCGAAATAGTCGTATTTTGTAAAAAAACCTTTGCAGTGACTCCTTTCCTGACTATCTCATTCTAGTTTTCGTAGTAAAGTATCAGCATTACTTACTATTCAGTGCATTTTTCTGTACGTTGCCAACTTTTTGCTCCTTGTACTGTAACGAAAAACTTATCTTGTCTGTAATGCCCCGCAGAGCACGTGCTGAAAGACGAAAGCTTGCTGCCTCCCCACTGTCTCCGGTACTAGAATCGCCACTGAAGATATAGCAGTTGCCAACATATGTTCTTCGCCTTCTGCAGATAAGGTTAACTCACAAATCCCTGTAGTACATGTAGAACCTCTTGACCTTTCAATCGTACAAAAATACGCCTCTGCTAGTCGTAGCAGGCCATCCGCCGACGAAATACTTCATTGGTTGCTATATGGCGACATAAACAGTACTTCTGAAAAAGTGATTGAACAAGCTTTTAAACTTATTGGGGTAATAAGTTCTGAAACTGAGGAGAGAATTAAACGCAAGCATAATTTTGTACTGCGAACCATTCCGAGACACTTATCTGCTATGGAGGGAGCGCATTTGTTCCTACAAAGTTGTGGCTTGAGTTTCAGTGTCGCACAAGCTAAACAACTGCGCTCGCTTAGCCGTAATGCGCCGATCATAGGTATCCTTTTCTCCATGATAGAAGTCGATTTTATCTTGTCGAAGAGGGAGATAACTAGATAATTCTGCCGTAAGTGACGCTGCTCCGTTTCGCCAGACCTCACACCGCTGCAGCGAAGACTGAATAAATTAAAATCGGTAAAAACAAACACCAGGATAATGACACCTACTGTCAGTATGAATAAGTCCTTTACAACACTATCTGCGGCCTCTGTACGTCATGACATAGTCAATACCGTAGGGAATTCGACTACTATTGATGCTGAGATCTTTAGAAGCAACAACACGCCTTGTATACAAACGCCCCTAACAACTCCCCCAGCAACCCCTAGTAAGCTTAAGCATGTGCCTCAGTCAAAAGCAAATCCAACTGCTGTCTCAGCCACTCGGACACCCGATAAATCCAGCAACATTATAAAATCTGTTCCTCCATAATCGGCTAACAGTGCCTTAAATACCCCGACTCAAAACGTAGCGTGTTCCCAACTGCCCCCAGCCCTCATATCGAGGCAGTTAGGCCGAATATGCCGATTTTCCCGCCGTTTAATAGAACTCTTGCTCCAATGGAAGCAATGCGTCCCCCACCCCCTAACTTGTTTCCACCACGGCCGTTTTACCAATGTATTCCTCATGCTAGTGTCCATACTGGATCAGTTAACTCATCCGATCCTCAGTTTTGTTCCGGCGGGAATGTGTTGCAGTATCTGGACCGCGGATTTCCAGCCGAAAATGAGTTAGCTATCAATGGTTACCAGTTAACCTGCCCGTCATTCCCCTCCCCAAATCCTACCCCTTTTTATCCACGTCAGAATTTTTCAATGCCACAAAATTTTTTGCAGAACTGGATGGTTAAATCCTGACCGTTTGCTCCGTGGGCAGACCAGCACTGGACGATGTAGCCCACCTCCCTCAGAAACATACAGCCTTTCCCTTCAAAATTTTTGTTTTAAATGGCAGATCCTTGCTTAATAAGATGCCTTTGCTTCAGACTCAGGTGTTCGTCTATTGTCCGGATATTGTTTTAATAACTGAGACATGGGCATCAGCCTCCGTAGCTGACTCCGAACTCTCGCTTCTAGGCTATAATTGCATTCGAAATGATCGCCAAGATAGCCGTGGCGGGGGCAGTTGCGTCTACGTTAAGCAAACACTTACATTTTTGCCGCTTGACCTCCCGCACTTTTCCGCAGTAGAAGGCAGCAGCTGGCTCCAGGTTGCTCTAAAAAATAAGTTCTCCTTACTCGTTGGCTGTGTTTATTGCCCTCCCAACGCCAACGCCAATTTTGATCGTTTACTCTCACAGGCATTTCATGCTGCGACCGACTTAAGCTTTAAGTATCAATTGGTTGCGGGCGACTTTAATCTCCCTGAAGTCCGCTGGTCTCCGCCTTCAGGCCCCAGAAAGTTCGAAGACATTCTTGAGGCTGTGGATGTTGGAATGTGGACTCAGGTTGTCAATTTTCCCACCAGAGGATCAAGCATACATGACCTAATTTTTTGTAGATGCTGCATGCCATCGTCAGTGTCAGCCCTAGGCCCACTCGGGGACTCAGACCATGACGTAGTTGTTTCAACGTTGGAATTCGAGGCTGACAAAAAGTTGTCCCCAAACTATAACTTTTTCCGCGATTTCCGATCAACTCGCTCAACCGAATTATTTACATACCTTAATTCCTACGACTGGACTGATTTCATCCTTAGTTCGGATATAAATGTTTGCACTGCAAAACTGTTCGAAATTTTGGATCTGCTTATTTCTCGTTGTGTCCTCCGTAAGAAAATTATTAATGTTGGGGATGAGGTTTTCCTACCCTTACTCTTTCGTCGCAGATTGCGCAGGCTTTATCGTCGATTCCATCACCAGAACGACGTTTCTGTCCTGCCCTTGATTTTTGATATTTTTGATCGAGCAAAGAGATTGTCTGAAGAAAAACAGCTAGCCGAAGAGGTCCAGTTTACCGAAAACCATTCGTTAAATATCTCGAAACTTTTCTCTAGAAAAATACGAACACACCGAAAGACGCAGCATCCCATCCTCCGAGACGTTCTCGGAAATCCCATAGTTGATGCCCAGTTAACCGCTGGTAGCTTCAATGATTTCCTGTCCAAAACGTTCATTGAAGACTCGACCACTCCGCTTCCGAACATCCAGGCACTGACTGGGGCAGTTCTAGAAACTATAACTTTCACTCTGTGGGATGTGACTGTTGCGATTCGGCGTTTTCTTCAATCTTATAGTCCAGGACCTGATGGTGTCCCTGTAAGCATTTTAAAAGCCGATGCAAACACGATTTTCCCATCCTTCTTATGCAAGACATTTAATCCTGCTCTTAAAAGTGAAACTTATCCTACCTTGTGGAAGGAATCACACATTTTGCCCATTCCTAAGCACGGCAAATCCACGTCATTTGATGACTTTCGGCCAATAAACACCCTCCCCGCTGTTTCGAAGATCTTAGAGATGATGCGTCACTTAACAGTGAATAACCTACTGAGTGCTGCTCAGCATGGATTCCTCAAACCTCGATCTTGTGACACCTGTCAACTCTCTTTCTTTGACTATGCTCTCCAATCCAGGGACAATGGTTTTGCACTTTACACAGTATATTTCGATTTCACCAAGGCTTTTGATCGTGTTGACCACTCCCTTCTTCTCTTGAAACTGTCCTCTTTCGGAATAGGTGGCAAACTTTTGAATTTTATATCCTCTTACCTGGGCACCCGTACGCAAAGAGTTAAGATTTCCAATATGATCTCCAACCCCACACGTGTGAGGAGTGGTGTCATTCAGGGTAGTGTACTCGGCCCGCTTTTATTTTGCCTTTTCGTAAATGATGTACCCGATTTATTCCAGAATAGTAAGCCTTTCATGTATGCCGATGATCTTAAAGTTGCATATCGATATAAGCCGGCAGATCATGACATCGTGATTGAGCTCCTAAAGAGCGATCTACAGGCTTTCGCCCAGTGGTGCCGCACATGGCGCCTTTCTCTTTCCTGGCATAAGTGTTCAGTCATGGTGGTTGGCAACGACCGCCAACCTCAACTAAGTATTGACGGTCACGCCATAAATGTGCCTGGGGTTATTAAGGATCTGAGCATATCATACTCCAAGAGTCTCAATCTATCGGGGCACTGTAGCTTGATAGTCTTCAAAGCACGTAGAACGACCGGGTTTATCCTCCGAAACTTCAAAACCAGCGATATTAGAATGCGCCTTAATAACATGTATGTTAAAACTGGCCTGAAATATTGTTCGTTTTTTTTTTAGCCTCATGCGTGCTACTGAGCGGAAGAAAATATAATCCGTTCAACGCTTTTTACCAAGAGAGTTTTAACCCCAGATCACCGACATTTGTCTTACCAAGAACGTTGCCGGCTTACAGGCCTTGATCGTTTATGGTTCCGTAGATTAGAAAAGGGACTATTTTTGCTATTTAAACTCCTATATAATCACACATTTAACCCAGTCACCTCTTTAAGACACCATGTCCACTCACGGCGTAACAGTCAGCGTGAGGTCTTTTTATTTCTTCCTCTGGCACGTACTGTTAAATATCGTCGGTTCTTTTCTGTAAATGCAATTGATATTTGGAGTAAGCTACCCATGAGTGGGAAAAAATCTGCAAAATTATCCTTTATTTAAGAGAACTATTTCTCGATTTTTGCATTCAGAAAAGCTCCCACTTCATGAATGGACTTGACGTCCGATAATCTCCGATACCGTGCAACCCCCTCCCCCCCTCACCCTTCTTGACGGTCGAATGTATGCTGCCAGCAGTTTTTTCTCCTGAACCCTCCAAACCATAAAAACCACCATCAACAATATTTTTATTCCTTTACCTTAGGAGTTTTTTTCACTGCTGGTCGGATTTGTGTTTAACGCTTCCCTTGACAATGCCTGTAAACTGGCATTAAATAAAATTATTATTATTATTATTATTAGTAGTAGTAGTAGTAGTAGTAGTAGTAGTAGTAGTAGTATAAGAGAGAGGTACTACCTGTGCGCGCTGTGCCCGCGCACAAGGTAACGCGGACTTCGCTGGGTGGTTGGTCGGATGGAACTCCGCATCGGCACTGTCGTGACGAGGCCCCGCCTTGTACGCCGATGTTCAGCCAGGAGGATGGATCTCCGCATCGGCAAAGTCGAGACGATACTCCGTCTGGTGCACCGCAGGAGGCCGCGGGCTTACGGCGATGTCGTAAGCTTTTGGCATATTCGAGTCGTTCCTCCACTACAACAAAAGTCGTGGTCTATAGTGGATTTCGACCGCACCGCCACAACAGGGCAGCCCTATTCACGGAGGCACTGCCCGACTTCGGGGGGGTGGGGGTGGGACTAGATAAGGTGTCCTAGAGATTGCTGGGGAACCACGTCGTCTGCAGGCTGGCCGTGGTTGCCGACGCTAAGTTCCCGGTCAAAAAACCAAAATTGAAACAAAGACAACAATACCCTCTCCCTCCACATGCCTCTTCTTCCTCTCCCTCTGCCTATTCTTTCTTTTCTTCTCCTTCTTCACCTTCTTCTCCCCCTCCTCCTTTACGCCGCCGCAATCGTCAGACTGGCAGGGCGAGTCCGCTTACTCTGGCAGCCTGAAATGTTCGTTCCCTTTTAGACAATCCGCGGAGCAACCGACGGGAACGGAGGACGGTGCTAGTAGCTCGGGAACCGGCGGACTATCAGGTGAACATCGCGCACTCTGTGAAATTCGATTCTCCGAACAAGGCCAACTGGAGGAGGTGTGTGCCGGCTACACCTTCTCCTGGAGTGGTCGACCCAGGGCAGAGCGACGGGACGCGGGTGTCGCCTTCGCCATTCGGAACGACATCGTGGGACGACTGCCCTGTTTGCCGCAGGGCATCAACAATCACCTGATGAGCCTTCGCCTGCCTCTCGGGGAAGGCAACTTCGCCACCATCACCACTGCCTACGCTCCGCCGATGACCAACTCCGACGCCACAAGAGACAAATTCTACCAGGACCTGCACGCCCTCCTGGCGACTGTGTCAATGGCAGGCAAGTTGATTGTCCTTGATGACTTCAGCGCCCGCGTCGGCGCAGACCCTTCAGCCTAGACAGAGGCGCTATGTCTCCATGGTCTCCGCGGCTCCGACAACAATGGCCAGCTCCTTCTCCGCACATGCGCAGAACACCGCCTCATCCTAACAAACACCTTCTTCTGTCTGCCGGAGCGAGAGAAAGCCACCTAGAGACATTCTCGGTTGCGACAGTGGCACCTGCTGGAGTATGTTCTCGTCTGGAGGCGAGACCAGGGGACGTGCTGGTGACAAAGGCGATCGAGGGTGCTGACGGGTGGACCGCCCATTGCCTCGTCATCTCGAAGATGCATATCCGTCTACAGCCTTGCCGGAGACAACAAGGTAAGCGATCCCCAGGTAAGTTGAACACTGCCTTATTGTGTATATTGTTGTATATGTATATTGAAGGGTTACAGGCAGAGCCCTTGATGACCCTATTTATGTGCAGTGCTTTCGCAGATTCATACTCAAAAATAAAATAAAATTGCAGGCAGTTAAAATGTGATTGTGTCACAGTTCAATCGTAATCATAAGGTAGTGCATGGGGTCACTGTAAATTAGTGCGGAAGATTGCATATGACAAATTTTACAAAACTGACTGTGCATAGTCATGCTGTACAAGCCGATTTCTGTCGAAAACTAAACGAGCAAGTTCTCTTTTAAACACACACAAACTGTATCAGCCGTCACCATCTCGCTTGGAAGCGAGTTCCACGGCCTGACAACCCGCTGGCTGAATGAAAATTTTCGTCGGTCTAAACGCGTGCGCTCATTCCCGACTTTGTATGCATGGCCGCGTAGTTGGTTTGTACGGGCGAACTCAAAGAAGTCCTCTGCTCTTAATGAGCAACCCTGGCCGCGAACAATCCGGAACGTCCAGAGTAGACTGCAGTTTATTTGTCTATAAGAGAGAGGGAATAGGCCAAGCAAATTCAGCCTCTACTGATAAGACAATTGTTTCAGACCGTCGACCATCTTTATCGCTCTGCGTTGCACATGTTCGAATAAGTATATATCCTTCCTCATCCATGGTGAAGCTGCTGGCATTCCATACTCTAGATGAGGTCTTACAAAGACACCGAAGAGTCTTTCGAAAAGTTCGGGAGGAAATATTTTAAATGCACGTCTGATCCAGTGTAGACTACTAGTTGCCTTCTGGGCCATCTTTCTGCAGTGTTCTGATGGCGATAGATTTGTGATCGTCCATACATCCAGATCTCTGTGTCTTTCCACCGTTTCTAACCTTGTCCCTTCAATATAGTACTGGTGTTTGGGAGAGGCATTGCGACCGGTGTTCAGGTGCAAAACCACGCATTTGGACACGTTAAACTTCAAAAGCCATCTGTTCGACCAAGCACACAGTTTGTTGATGTTCGACTGCAACTTCTCTGCGTCATCATCACACTTGACTTCACTTCATATTTTTATGTCATCCGCGAACATGAGAGACTCGCAATTCACTTCGCTGATGCAGTCATTAACAGAAATCAGGAAGAGTACTGGGCCTAAGACAGAGCCCTGTGGGACACCGCTTTCCACATTTACCCATTCCAAGGCAGAATTACTAACGACGACTCTTTGCAGTCTGGAGGACAGAAAACTCCTTTTCCACTTAAACATTCTCCCTTGAATCCCTACATCCCAGATCTTTTGTAAAAGAAGCCGGTGTGGGACACTGTCAAAGGCCTTCTTAAAGTCAAAAAAATATGACATCTACTGGAAAACCCTTATCGGTAGCTCTTGTCCATTTCTCGTGCGAGTAAAGAACACTCGTTAGGCAGGAGCGCCCTGGACGAAAGCCGTGTTGGGGATCACACAATATGTTGTTCTGTTCCAGGTATTTCTTCAAGTGTCTTTTGATAATGCGTTCCATTATTTTACACGTGATGCAAGTAAGACTGACAGGACGATAATTTCCGCAGTCAAGTCTTGAGCCTCCTTTATGGATCGGAGTAATGAGTGCGCACTTCCATTCTTCCGGTAGCTCGCCGTCTTCAAATGACTTTTGAAATATTGCGGATAAGGGTTTACACAGTTCATTAGCAAGTTCACGAAGTGCTAGGGCGGGAATTCTATCTGGGCCATTCGATTTGGCAGGTTTCAGTCGGAGTAGCTCGGCCCTAACTATAGTAGATGAAAAGAGTGGTTCCTCGGTTAAGGAGGGTGGGGAGGGGATAGGATGGGAAGGGTACTGGGGGGAGAGGTTGTTTGGCGAATGGATGGATGGGCAAATATAGAACTAGGTTCTCGGGTGAAGACGGACTGAAAGAAGTCGGAAAGGAGGGACGCTTTAACCTGGTCATCAATCTCCACTTTTCCGTCTGCAGATCTGAGGGCAGGGATGAGCTCCTGAGTCCTTTTAGTACATCGTATATAACCATATAGAATTTTCGGATGCTCCAACGAATTTCGGAGTATGTTTAGTTTAAACTTCTTTCGCAGCTTTGAGGCCTCACTTTTACAGACGTTTCGTTGCCGCTTATATTCCTGTAAGTGTTCGTCGGAGCCAGTTTGTCTGTAACGCCTCCACAGACGATTCCTTTTTCTGAAAGAGGCCTTGAAGTCCGGGTTTATCCATTTTGGGCGGTTTGTGATTTTCTTTCTTCTGAGAGGACAATTGGAATAAACAATCTCTTTCAATAAGGAACTGAAAGTATTTCAGTTATCGTTTGCTCGACCATGCAGTTCAGTCTCCCATGATATAGCTGCCGCTTCCCTCCTCATGAGAGAATAGTCCCCTTTCCAAATGTTCCTCTCCCACCTCTCGGGTTGGACGGGTTTGGAAAACAGTGAGTACTCGAAGTAGAGCGTGATGTGGTCGCTTGGCCCTAATGGTTGTCGGTCCTGCAGGTCTAACACGTTTTCCTCCTCTCGGGTAAAAATAAGATCAAGGCAGTTCGACTGCTGCCCTTCCCTGACCCGTGTTCCAAAGGTAACATTCTGGCAGAGAAGTCTGTCCGTTGCCCATTGTAGTAGTTTGCCTTTGCCCACTCACCATCTCCATTTCAAAAACGAGCTAGCTCAACGGCTAGACATCCTTCCAGTCCCTGCCGCCTCCGCCGCTGAGGAGAACGCCTCCGTACAGAAATGATGGTGTTAACTGCGAGACACGGTCCAGTCGACGGCGTTGGCCATCCTCGGTCCAGCACACCGCCAATTCCAGGACTGGTTCGACGACAACGACGCCGCCATAAACAATCTGCTCGCTGAGAAGAATCGCCTACACAAAGCCTACGTTGAACACCCCACCGACGAAAACCGGAGTGCTTTCTACCGCTGTCGTCGCCTCCTACAACAGCGACTGCGCGAGATGCAGGACGCCTGGACGGCTCGCAAAGCTGAGGAGATCCAAGGGTACGCGGACCGCAACGAGTGGAAGAACTTCTTCTCCGCGATCAAAGCTGCCTTCGATCCGCCGACCAAAGGCCCTGCTATTCTTCTCAGCGCCGACGGCGGTACTCTCCTCACCAAGAAGACCCAAATTCTACAGAGATGTGCCGAGCACTTCCTAGGCGTCCCCAACCGTTCCTCCACCATTTCCGGTGTCGTTATTGCCCGTTTGCCGCAAGTGGAGACCAACGTGAACCTCGACCTCCCACCCTCTCTCCCGGAAATCATTTGAGCCGTGCAGCATCTCTCCGGCGTAAAGCACCCAGATCGGACGCGATCCCTGCTGTGAGCTACAAGCACGGTGGCCCCCATCTGCACTCCTCCAGGAGATGTGGGGTCAAGGTGAATCCCCGCAGGATTTCAAAGATGGAACAATCGTGCATCTGTACAAGTGAAAAGGAAACAACCAGTTCTACGACAATCGCTGAGGCATCTCCTTGCAGTACACCGCCGGGAAGATATTTGTTCACATTCTTCTCAACCGCCCGAACAACCACCTGTCTAAAGATAATTTCAATGCACTCTCGCCCAAAACGTTCAAAAAAATTAGACCGCTTCGCTTTCGAACACCCGGATTCGGACCGGTGGCGTTCTCGGAACTATACATTTTGCCGTCTGAGAAATCACCGTAGCCATTCAATGATTTCGACCATCGGATAGTCCTATCCGGAGGGTATTTTGTTCAGCTTCCTAAAGACTGACCTAAATGAGATCTTTCCGTCCATCGTGTGCAAAATATCAAATCTCGTTGTTAAATGAATTCGAGTGGGCTTTGCTCGTTTTCCCAAGTTTTGACATTTTGGTCACCCGTATCTGCCCAGAATTACGCCTCGTAAGAACAAGTCGTCAAATCAGCTTAGAGGGACAATTAACCTCCATTTTCGCGGATCCCATTATCAGCGAGATCTTCATCCTTCATTGAGGCTCTCAGAAAACCACTATCCGGAGCATCACGAAGTATCTGGCTCTGTTTAAATCAGAATCCTACGAATACCGGCTCCATAGTGATTCCGAAGTCAATTTTCCGTTGGCGAAATGCTCGGAAACCGGCAGAAAGGAAAGAATACTGACAGCTGCGAAGGCTAAGTCATTCTTTACTTCCAAGTGACATTTGATACCGACTTCCGTTTGGAAATAAGCTTTGCTGTGTGCTCAGTATACTAGCCACTCACCAATTTAAGTCACCCGCTATAACTCAGTGCGATCTCGGAGAGATCTTTCTAGCAAAAATAAAACAGCGATCAACAAAACCCAAAAACACTAAAAACAGTAATCGTATGGACCAACCTGCGCCACCAAATAGCGCTGGCAGCTCGCCCTACACCTCTGTATATATCTATAATACAAGAAGACAAGTGAGGCAGCCAAATAAAGACGTAACAGCATATACTGCGGACGTGAGAAATTTAGCAAATGACCTGGATACAGACATAAAGGCAGTCCCAACAAAAGGGGGCAGAATGCATCCACCAGTTTTTTTCCGGAGAGATCACGATGTGAGGTAGTGCGCGGAGTTCCCGCTAATGGTTTGTGACTCGATAAGTCTAGCGCTTATCTGTTTTTCCTACCTTTCTGCTATCGTTCATGGCTGTACCTGCATAGTTTTGCCGTACCACTACCCTTCGCCACTCTTCCACTTATTTATTATTGTCATGTTTGTACCTGCATAGCATCTTTATAATAAATTTTCCATCCTAATAAACTTATATCTTCCCGCGACTGCTATTTAATCATCCTGACCTATCATGTGTGTCTACTTTTGAGTGCTCGAATGATGGACCATTTAGGAGCGAGTCCCTAGGGATCAGACTCCGTGACAAAGAAGCGGAAGGTATACAGTAACTCCGTGATATCCAGTCTATCCCCCCTCGCATAATAATAACAACAACAATAATAATAGCTTTTTTGTTAAAGACCCGTTGGGGTTCCGTGAAAGCAAGTAAAAATAAATTCGCATGCGAATTTTAGACGAGGTAGTCAGAATCTGTGCAAAATGCAATTCCGAGTTTCTAAATTTGCAGTCCGTCAAGAAAATTGATGAGCGAGCGGTGAAAAAAAACTCCACTTAAAAATTTAAAAATGTTTGAATTAATCTAACAGCAGAAAAAAACCCTCGCTAATAATAATAACAAAAAAATGCGTGCAGGACTGGCCTGCATGTGGCGGTATATAACGGATTATAATTGGACATCGTCAAGGGAGAAATAAATGTCAGCCTTGAGGTGCATGTATGCGGGTCGGACAGGACTGGTCAGCATGTGGTTTTGTATACGGGATTCAGAAATGACATCGTCAGGGCAGGATTGATACGCTGGATGAAACTATTCTTGCCAAAGAGGCCAGACGAGAGGAACCCATACGCGATCGGCCACAGCGCGCTTCGAGCCCAGCCGAGGAATGGGGAAGGGGGGTACGACAAAACTATTAGCAGACAGCGAATACTGAGGGTTCCGCCGTGAGCGTAGACAGACCGCATGAGGGCGAAATGCGGGGAGATGTCATCAAGAACCTCGAAAATCGTCGCTATGGGGGAGGAGTGATAGCAGTGGACTTAGAAACCAATTCAAAACAGGGTTTATAAAGATACAATTGAGGGTTTCCACTCGGTGAAGGATTAAGATCTCGCTGATAATGGGATGCGCGAAAATGGAGGTTAATTGTCCCTCTAAGCTGATTTGACGACTTGTTCTTACGAGGCGTAATTCTGGGCAGATACGGGTGACCAAAATGTCAAAACTTGGGAAGACGAGCAAAGCCCACTCGAATTCATTTAACAACGAGATTTGATATTTTGCACACGATGGACGGAAAGATCTCATTTAGGTCAGTCTTTAGGAAGCTGAACAAAATACCCTCCGGATAGGACTATCCGATGGTCGAAATCATTGAATGGCTACGGTGATTTCTCAGACGGCAAAATGTATAGTTCCGAGAACGCCACCGGTCCGAATCCGGGTGTTCGAAAGCGAAGCGGTCTAATTTTTTTGAACGTTTTGAGTGAGAGTGCGATGAAATCATCTTCAGTCCACTGGACTTCTGCTATGGGATTTCCAAGACTGTTTTCCCTTACGAGATTCAGAGTTTATCTATGAACTCTCATTGTACGAGAATAACGTCTCACAAATTTTAATGAGTAGTTTTTGATAAAATCGATCTCTCTGACTGCCCGATTTTCTTCGACACACCTCTTTGTTCGCTCAAAAATACGACGGATCAAGGGCATCACTAAATTGCGGTTTTGTCGTTGAGAACGACGGAGGCGATTTTGCAACCAACGTCAAAATGATAAATGGAAGAAAAACTCGTAGGTGAGGTTGATTATTTCTTGCGAGAACAAAACAAGAAATAACTGAGTTCAAAAGCTCTTACAGGTTGGCAGCACCAACATTCACATCTGAGCTTAGTTAGAAATCAGAACATTTGTAAGAAGCAATGTGTATCATTGACTGTTTTGAATGAGAAACTGTATTTTTCTGGAAAAATATGCTATTAACTCCGAGTTCTGGCGTAGAAACAACTATGTCATGTTTCGAGTCCCGAGTAGACGTAAAAATGACACTGACAATGACAGGCAACCCTTATAGAATTCCAAGGGGCCCCTATCATTATAAGTAGTCTTCTGTGTGGTGCATTATCGAGGACTTTACTGGGATCGATGTAAATAGCCATCAAAGATAGACGATCATTAAGAAAATAAGGTTGCCTCTTTTTCTGCCTGTAGCACAGAGGGAATAGATTGAATCACTTCAATCTTTTAAAAGGGTCAGTTTTTTAATCTGTTACTAGCTTTGTAGCACGTTATTACACCTTCTCAATATATATTTTGCTTATTGAAGTGCTTTCGGCCAACCTGATAGACAACATCACTTACATATTGACGTTTACATGGTCGTGTAAAAACGTCTGGTCGAGGACCGAATTTATGCTTTGTTGTGGACAGAGTTGGAATGAGTAGACCACATCACAGCTGCATAGACTAACCACGTTTCTCTTGGTACAACTGTTGCCACCATATCTTGCTCGTGCCTAGCTTCGTAGGTTGTTTTGTTCATCACTTCTTCCAGTTGTTTGCACTAAATTCCTTGCAGAAGACACTGATCGATGCGTGACAATTCTTCGCCGGCCACTTGAACTTCAGAAAATCGAATGCCGCGAATGTAACCCTTTTGTGGTCATTTGGCTGCAACTTGGGCAAAAAACCAACTTTTGCGGCTTCGATGCCGTTGTCTCGCGTGTTAGCGTGATATAGGTTAGTGAGTCGCCACCTCGAAAGAGAAAATTATTGTTCTATCATCCGTTAAATACTTAGGCAGAATAGTATCTACAACATAAATTGTACCACTTACACCTATGACAGTGCAACGATTTTTTACTGGACTATAGCTCAGTAAGAAAGCTGTTTACACCCAGATATCTAAACCATCTGCCTTACCACAACCGTTATTTTCCTCTTGTCGAGTTCCGAAATGCCCGATTGCTTCATACCGAATTGAACCGAATCGTATACGCGTATACGATACCAACGTACATTGGTAACTTTTTGAAAACACAGTTCAGACTCAATCGATTTTCAAGAATTTGGGACGGAAGGGGAATCCGGTTTGAAATAGAAAGTTGACGAATTAATTCTCCTAGCGTCACAGTTGGATCGTAAAACTAGGAAGGCAGACAACAGCGTCGTTTTTCGGGCGGCATCCCGTAACTCTGTAAGCATGAAATGTATGTATAGGAAGATTCATATTCTTAACAATGAACAATTATTCAACCAAATAGTATTAGAAAATGATGAAGTTACGTCTGATTTGTTCGGCCCGTTAATGTGTGCGTTCTGGTAGACCTGCCCACGCAATTGCTGTCCACCCACCATCCAAGACACAAGTAAGAATTGAACATTATGATGGCTCACGCCGATGACCCTATTTCCAACTAGCTGCGGGATGACGACCGATGATAATAGTGTTCAAGACCCAGGACAGCAAGCTAGGCAAAGGGTCAGTAGAAGTGCTGTTTAGCTGATTTGCGAGAGTGGCATGTAGCAGACAGAAGCAAGGCATGCTCACTGCCTTAACTGCAGCAAGTAGATTCTACTTCGACAGATAAGTATTAGCGGAAATGACCAATAAAGTTGTCATAAAATTTTTCTAAGTGTTAGCGTATTGAGAGCGCATGTGTGAGCAGCACAATGAAATGCTTTTTTATGAATTCAGTACATCAATCTTTACGAAACAGGCG